GAAAGACGATAATTTAAAACATGTATATCAATAGGAAATAAAAAAATATGAACAGTACAAAGGTTTCGGTGACGTTATAGGTATAATTTTATTTTAAAGGATTCGCTTCTAACCAAAATTACAATGTTTATTCCTAAAATTGATACATTTTCCGATGTTTACTATTTTTTTTTCGAATACATACTATAAACATTTTACACATTGCATGCATGATTATTGTTTTGCTTTATCAAATAGTTTACAAGCCTATAAACATGTGTTACTATGCCTCAATCAAGTGTTTTCGTATGTTATGTACACACAGTGTACATTATACATACCATACCTTTTGAACTATGCATGTCAGCCAATAAACCAAACCGGACTTGAATACATTTTAGGTGAATAATAATATAGTGTGAACTTTTTGGTGTAAATAAATTTAAAAAAAATACTTCTGAGATAAATAAATATTTTTTGATATTAAAAAACATTAGGCCGCTATTTGAAAGGAGTGCGGGATATCTTAATAATTTAGTAAGGTATTCCAGGTAACGCTTATACCGGTCCACTGAGTCTGATGATCAATGTTACCGGCGAGATCTTAGCTTAATACTGCGTTATTGCTTTACTCTGTATACCGCATATAATAATATTATGTATAAAACAAATTGTTCAAATGTTTTAGCCTCTGTATTTAAAACCGATATGGCACACCAGGCGAAACATATGTTTACTGTACAAAAACTCGAAACATTGCTAAACCAGTGTGTTTTCAGCTTTGCATACGTGTAAAACAAATATAATACAGTATCAAAAAGTGTCCCTCGATACATATGCTACGAATTACATCTCAAAGACCATAGTAAGGCGTACATTGAGTGACTTCTTTCGCTGTGTTTGGAGTGCAGAATATTACAAATATGATACTCTCGAGTTTTGTTGTGTTGACAGTTTTGACTACGTGGGTAACGCCGGAAGATTTAAAAGCTTGCTATTATTCGAGATACGCGTATTATTATTTAAAAACGACCAGTTATATGATAAACAATAGTTTCTTTGGTGTTGACGAACGAGAGTTTACCTACGAAGCATGCCGAGCTTATGGAAATGACTTACAAACTCAAGGAGAAATTGTCTTGGCGATGCTCAAAGATTTGCAGGCCAATAATCCAACCAGTCAGCCACACGATTTAATGGCAGTTAATTTATATTTGAACAATGTTTCCGGATCATTAATGATGAAATCGGTCGAAGAAAAGATAAGACATAAATTACCCACCGTCACAGACACGGAGGTATGTAAAATAATGTTTCAAAATATAATTTCCATATTACTTGTTTCTATATCTAATAGCCTGTTAATCAACTGTCATAAAACCGTGTTGACTTGGGAAAAAACAAAGATAGAACGTGACACGGAAGTGCTGGGTTCGGATTTCGCTGAACTCAACGATCTGTTACCAAAAAAGTGGCCCGCAAATGAGTATGGATATGGAAATAGACCTCCATATGATAAAACAGCTATACACCAATTATATAATAGTGCGTTGTTGATTAAATACATGATGGAGGAAAAACAAAAAACCGAAAATGAACTCGAACCATATTTACATTTGTATCCTAGAAATGCGTTGTTCTACGACCTCTTGTCCGGCGACCAAAATACCACACCCGTCGGCGACGTGGATCATTTAGAATTGCTTCGAAGTGTCCAAGTAGTTACATCAATCTCCGACATAGAAAACCCCACCATGAAAGTATTATTGGAGAAGGCGACATTTATCTTCGATATGAAATGCTTGAAATCGTTCCAAAGACAAGTTTTGGCCGCTACGGTCCATCCTGTGTACACTGCTATTGCTTTGTACATTTCGCTATTCAAATACATGTATCACACGGGAGAGAGTAAATACAGAAAGTCAGATGTCAAGACTGAACGTTTCAGAGAAGCAGTTGATCATTTAGGCGATAAGGTTGTTAAGTTGCTTTATGATTTTATCGAGTTAGATATTCATCCGGAAAACGTTAAGCGACATTTTCAACTTACCCACCGAGAATTGAAACTTTTTGTTGAATGGCCGGAAAAAAAAACTATAACACTCAAATGGATCGGTCAGATATTTAGACGGTGCTCAAACCCTATGGTTTTGAATAGACTAAAGTTCATTAAATTGGATGAAGTCGAAGAGCAGATAGCCAGAGATAACCGATTCTCTATAAATAAAATAAACGAATTGTTAGAATATGCAGACACTGTCGAAAATTATATAAAAGCAGTAGAAAACATCAAACATTATTATGATGTAACAAAAAAGAAGAACAATGTACTCTATTCGTATGAAGAAATGTTTCAGGATAACCTTACGTGCGACATTATAGAATGTGCTGTTACCATGTATACTACTGATAAATTTAATGTTCCTAAGATTGTCTACTCAAAAAACTAACTTGGGGCCCACATTTAAAACAAAAACGTAAGTCAGACCTCTCCTTAAATCTAGGCTTTCTCTATACAATAAACTAATCCTATACAAATCCTTAATCCGTCCACTCTGGTCCTACGGCATACAAGTCTGGGGCACATTCAAACCCTCCAACACTAAAACTCCCCAAGCGTTCCAGTCGATCTGCTTGCGGGGCTAATAACCTCTGCCCCTTGATATATCACAAACAAAAACCTACATAAAGACCGAAACGTACCAACTTAACCAAATTCTCTATACTCAAATTTCCATTTAAATCTAAGTTCTCACTCTAATCCTCTAATAGTAGTTATAACATTGTTAATAAGTTAGTAATAATTATGTTAAATTTCTTATTATTATCTTTTTGTTTTAGTAAAAAAAAATAGAATTTATTCTGATCTTCTTTAAGTGTACGTTTCTTGTCATTGTTTCTAAACTCGAATATAACATAATGAATGAATAAAGTTTACTGTGATTTTGCCTGTTTTAATTATTTAACGTTTGAATGGATTGGAAACGGTTATAATATACATGTGTTTGTCCCATTCACACTTGATCGCTTAATAAACGGTGTGACTAAAACAAACACACATGTGCAGAGATAATAACATATTTTAATATTACAGTTACTATGTATGGTTTTTTCGTGTTTCCATAATAATATACTCTAAAACAAACCGCGTTAAGTGCGTTTGAAAAAAAAAATACAATACTTCCCCACAACGGAACAAAACCAAGAACACGGTACATACATTATCACATTGACAGTCGTCGACGGTGTGTGTTGGTGATTTATGTTTGCTGGCGGAAATGCGTTTTAACTCAAAAACTGTACACTACGTGTGTGTATATATGTGGATATGTGTTTTTCCTCGTGTCGTATAATGTGTGGTAGGTGTTTGACATAGTTTTGCGAAACCGCGTTTGAACAAGAGCTGAACAAAAAAATATATACTACCCGGTCACTGTAAAAACGGGGTCGTTCCCCAACAAATTCCCTATACACTCGACTCTATACATTGTTGGTTCGTTTGAGTTTAAACAACATCGCTTAATCACGTCGGTTTGGGGCGTTAAGTTCGAAACAGTCTGTCTGCAAAATAGCTCGACATAATATTTAACAGTTCGGGACATAAAAAGCGGAACGAACTAGATTTTCACCGTATGCGTTATTGCAATACTTCCATATTGTTGTTTTCGAGTCAAAAGTTTGTTATTTGTTACTACAATAGTCGTCATCGATTATGTATATATATATATATGATTATTATTCTCTACTGGAAAACCAAAACATAATATATTGAGTGCTGCACGACCACGATGTCTCTGTTTACGGCAACTCATTGTATTGAAAATAGTATATTATTCTTTCCAACGTACCCTCTTGAAAAACTTTGGAAATTGAGTTATTAATCGTCGACTAGTCTATAGTACAATATAGTAAGATACAAATTTAGTTCACACTTACCTGATGTCATAAGCGAATTTTTTTTTGGAAATTTTATTTTACATATTTTCCAATACTTAGATGCTATTTAATGCGCATATGTTGGTAATTAAACGCTAAAAAGTGTTTTTATTTTTGTTTGTGCTATAACTGCTATGCTATTATTTGTTTAATTCACCAAGGCGCAGTTGAGCTATGATTATCATTTTTTTTTCACATAATCTAACTTCGACAAAATAATTAAAAAATATCAATACTAAAACGCGACTTTAACGAATCGTTGAAGTTATAATAAATTTGTTGTTATATTTTTGTTAGTTAGTTAATATATTTGGGTTAAAGTCAAAAAGAGTTTCGCTGGACAAGAATGCACCGAGAAAAACACACTGTTTTTCCACGCGACCTGTAAAGACGTTTACAGACTGAAAAACAAGCAAAACAATGGGTGGGAAATAAATTCGTTTTCGGCAATCTTTTATGGTTCGACATAAACAACAGACAGTGTTTTGCTAAAAATCGTTTGTAACACGGCTCCGGCCGAATCGGTGGCGCGGAATCCCGATATAACATTTTTGATGTCTGAAAACAATTTCACTAGAATAGAAATATCGCACGACTGTCAATCGGGGTAACGAGAACCCTCCCCCCCATCCCCCGAAATAGACATGATTGGTAGACACCGGCTCTATAGACCAACATAGAGAGTGTCGCTGTGCTGTGATTCTTTTCCATGGTTTTTATGCACACGCCTTCACTGGTATCGGCTATATTATTATAACGCCGGGAGGATCGACGGCTTCGAAAAAAACGGATTGCTGAAAAATCGCACAGTCTTTGTCAACAAAAATCGCATTCAATCGTTTAAGTAACTTAAGGCGACAGTAGCTGCGTAGTTACCGTATTTTGATAACTTTGTGATGCTCAGCGATAAGTTATGCGAATCGCAGCGTTATCAAACAAAATACCATTCAAAATCGTTTCCATTCTAAGGATTCTTCGGTGACAACATTTTGTATGACGTTCCTTTTCAGACCACGTGTACGTTGAATCGGTAGTGTAACAATATAACATATGCATTACATTATACAGCTGGTATTTTAACTCACGTGAACAGTAAGGCGGCTCGTCCGACTTGTCGCCGCAATCGTCGTAGCCGTTGCAGTATTTGTCTAAGGCCACGCAATAGCCCGTGTCGCACATGAACTCGGACAACTGACAGCCGAATGTGGTGTCGACAGATGTCAGCATTATCATCGACCACCACAAAAACAAAACCGACGACCCGTCCATGGTCTTCGCGATGTCCTGGCAAACAAACAAAAAATCCATCGGTTACTTACACAAAAAGAAATAAAAAAAACAATCAATTTATAGTAATAGCAAATATTAGCTGTACAACATAATATTGTAATCGAGTAATTGGTGTCGTTTGCTATGTGTATATTATTAAGTAACATTTAACATGTTTTCTCGTTAAACGCGTTCTACGGTTATACATCAATTATAATATGGGATTACACGTTGCTTGATAATTTCGGTCGTTAATAATAACAACAAGAAAAATGCAAGAGATTACTATACAGCTCGTTATACGACCACCGAGCGATGGCTTAACGAAATTCGCCGAGTTTCTTACTCGTTATATTATATATATGTATATTTTGTTTTGTACACACTATAGATATTTGCTCACGAACAGCTGGCCTTGCAATTGTCGAAATATACCATACACAAAATCTTCGTTCACAGATAAGTTGGCTCAGTGATTAGTGATCGACTGGAAAACGCTTTGGAAATTTCACTTTGTCGAGACAAAGCTATAGGAAGGCAAGTGCGGGTAAATCTGTGAAGTATAAACGAAGATCACTTGTCAGTAAACGAATGCTCTGCACTGATCGAAAAAGGTAACTAGGTATTTGACCGTCGAGTACAATTAATAGTGTCTCAGCTCAACTGTAATAGGCCGGTCAGCCAATTTAAAGTATTGATTGCATTTGCGTCTCGCCATCCTAGTGGTATTGAATATGTTTAACGTGCAAATTGTCCAGTGACCGGTTAACGTGACCTCGGTTGACGGATGTCGGATATTGCATTCAAAACTAATGGACTCTCGTTGGATTTCGAATTGTAGTAATAACCTTTGGCATGGCAAAATCTTTGCCATGCCAAACCTTTCGTACTAACTTCTTGGCTAGGGAACAGGTATTTGGGTAAAAAAATAAAATGTCTTACAAAAGTTTTGAAGGAAGTGAGTATTCGCGAAGCACAACTTTAGCCTGAATCACAGATCATTGCGGATGGTCTAAAGCTATATTAGAATTCTACAAAAGTATGAATAAAACCCTGTAAATTGGAATATAATTTTTTTTTTATTCAGTTAGATTTAATTAATGCAAATCATATATTTTTATAAAATATGCATACATTTATATTTGTTCAATTTTTTTTTGTTGATACTTTCCTTAAGTTCGGTCGAGAAAAGAACGATGCTTTCGGGAAAGTATGATCGAAATTAATGAAATGACAAAAGAAAAGTTTATAAGATACTGTATAATAGCTACCTACTGTAGAGTAATGTATTGTATATATATGTTTAAATTCGAAGAAAAGTTTTTTTTTTTTTAAGAAACCCTATACGACAGTATTTTTCCAGTGCGCCGTTCAAACTTAAGGTTTACTTTAGAACTGTATATAATTATTTTTTCAACTATATTATATTATTCTTTTAGTTTTGATTTCTTTCCCCGAACGGTGCGCTTAAAAGGCTGATAAATATTTAATGATGCGCCGTGATGTATATAGCAGGGTATAATAATGTATTCTGCTTGAAACTATTATAATTTTACATTATCCTTTTAACACAATATTGTATATATATATATATATATATATATAGGAGACGTCGGAGACGCCATTAAAACAAAATTTTAAAACCGAATAAATTACAGTCATCATAATAATAATAATGATTACTATCGAGCAGACTGGGCGTAGGTATTAGTTTGCTGTTGCCGTTGATATATTTGTATAACAGTACCGAGACCTTAGTAATGAATACAAGGCGTGATTACTATACAACACCGACGGCGGAGGCGCTAGTACATAATATGCAAGTTATTATAATATTGTCTTTGCTACATACAAAAAAATGTACATTACTTTCCATCTTGTCTTACACCAGTGTTACAACTACTGCGTGCAAAGTCCTGAAAATAATTACGACCAAACACCAACAGCTGAGTGTAGCTATAATATTATTTAGCTTTAATAGGATGCCGGGGTCTTTGAGACGCATAATAAAATAGGCTACCTAAGATCCAGTAGGATAGTGTTGAGCTCTATCTAGACACAGATAAGTAATTAATTACTATTTATCTACATACGTATAAATTAAGCTGTCTTTTTATTTTGTTTTTAAATTAAAAACTTTATCTACAACAATGGTCTGGATGATAATCATATCATCTCATAATAGCTAGACATTTTAATAAACGCGTTGATACGGTTAAATTAAATTCAAATAGTCTAGTAGACACCGACTTTTTATCGAAACGAGTCATCTTTAAGTTATTTTTAGCTCCGAGTTTTATCAAGCTTATAGAAATATAGTATTCATTTTAACTTCCACATTAAATGACTATTATTATTTTCATGTTTGACGTTATATGATCAGATGGGGGAAACGTAAGCCAATAGGAAGAACGCAATTTTTTTTGGTAATAACTAATTATATAAGTTGAACATATTTAACCGTAAGGAGTTTGAATATTTTACGATTAAATAATACACAGTAAAAAAAATGTATGCAATTACCTCCCCCCTCCCCTCGCCGACACTAAATATACTTAAAAATGTATATTCACGGTTTACTGAACTTCGTACTTTCCGATTGATTGCGAAAAGTTGAAAACATACTTATGCAATGTGATTTGAAGTTAAATAAAATACAATTTGTTTATTTAAAAGTTAGTTTGTATCGAGTTTGTGACGTTAAACGACGAAATTAGCCGTGTTTTGAAAAGTTGTATGGAAAACTACTCAACTAAAAGCGTACCCAGACCTTTCATCCCCGTGTACTGTATATTATTACTTTTTTTCAAACATATATATATATATATATATACATTTTGTAGCTGCATACGGTTGTACTTTTAATGTGAATCGATAAACTATATTTTGGTCCGAATTTTTTGTTGATACTTCAAATGAAAATAATGTATCAAGCCCAAACCAATGTCTTGCATCGATGTAGTTAAGTTCCAAAATGTCAAAAATAAGCAGACTGAATGTATTTCACAACAATTATTAACATAAAAAAAAAAAACCAGTACAGTGGGGTCGGGGCATAGTGGGGACGGAGCATAGTTGGGTCGGGGCATAGTGGTGACGGGGAGGTTACAGGTTTACAGGAATTTTTAAATCTGAAAGTGATAAAATCACTTTCGAAAAAACGCTTCGATGCAAATCGGTAGTTAGTATTTTCAAGCCAGTACAGTCCAAACCAAGCACAGTATAAACCAGCAAAGTTAGAAAGTTTTAAATGAAGGTTCTGTATTTACAAATGAGCATCAAAGCGTTAATTTGAAAGCGATTTTATCCAAGAGGACTAGTACAGTAGAGTATTGGTATAATGTAATCAAAGCAATGAGGAAACGGAGAGGTCACAGGTCTACAAGAATTATTATAAATAAAAGTGATAAAATTGAATAAAATCGCTTTCAAATAAACGCTTTGATGCTCATTTGTAAATACAGAACCTTCATTTAAAACTTTCTAACTTTGCTGGTTTATACTGTGCTTGGTTTGGACTGTACTGGCTTGAAAATACTAACTACCGATTTGCATCGAAGCGTTTTTTCGAAAGTGATTTTATCACTTTCAGATTTAAAAATTCCTGTAAACCTGTAACCTCCCCGTCACCACTATGCCCCGACCCAACTATGCTCCGTCCCCACTATGCCCCGACCCCACTGTACTGGTTTTTTTTATAATTAAATATTTTTTACAATATGTAAATAAAAATAATAATACTCGGAACGACAGCGGATTGACACTCCGGATCAATTTTAAATCAATAACTGATAATCGAATTATCGAATACTGACTGGCGACTACCTACAAATGTCATCACCCCCCGACCTCTCTCTCACACACCATGACCGGCTCGGGACGATAAGGGGTTTTTCGTTCCCACCTGTACCGTGTACATAAGACGGTGGACAGTTGATAACGCGATCGGGCGTTTATATGGTCACGATCGAATATTATTTTGTCTCGAAAATTGATAATTACAACAACTATACAATATAGTATAAACAACTCATGTTATCATTTCTCACGAAATGGCTGCCAATTAAAATTAAATTAGTTACTTAAATTGAATTCAGTCATTCCGCAAAAAGTTCAAGTCCAAATCGATTTTATATCAACTGTGACTTAATAAAATCCACACCCAGTTAGTTATATTCTGTTGACAAATTGTTTTTTATTAAATAATGAAAATTGATAAAATAAACATCAACTACGTCATAAAAGTTTTATACAGCGCAATACAAGTAATAACCAGAATAAAAACTAGCGTTTTTGTAGAGATTTAAAAATACTAATTGAAACGATATACAATATTTTCTATCATAACTGATTTCATAATTCATTACGGAGCAGATAAGAGCGCGCATCAATATGCCGTTCGTACACACAATGATGCCAATAGAACAAAAAATTATACTTTTTTTTTTCGTTTCTCACATCTGGTAGAGTGCGCTTGTACTTAAAAAAAAAAAAAAAAAAAAATTGAACTTAGTGTAAACTTAAAGTCAAAAGTGTTACTTGAGCACAGAACTTAATAGTATCATTCTGCATAGATCTACATAAAACTGTTTTAATGATTTGATAACAATTTTTTTAAGATTTTAAGTGTTTTTTGTTAAAATATACGCAATCTGCGAAAACACAGTTTTCCGGCTATTAAAAAAAAACTGTTGTGCCGAATTATTTTTCCGTTTAATATGTTATGGATACATATGAGTTCCAACTACTGGCAAATTTTCAACCCAAAGGTCTTAAAATTACGGCTAAAAACCCCGAAAAACAAAAAAACTTGTACCCCCCCTAGGGGGGTGGGCATTGGGTTAAATTTAAACTTGATACAACTGACGTGCGCGGGCATACTAAATAAATATTTCTTATAAATTTCAACTCGATCCGACTCTTTTTCTCGAAGCTATAGCCAGTAAAAGTTCTAACTTAAAAACTCGTACGGTTTTTTTTTTTGTTTTTTCAACTTTCGTCTGTGAAGAGTTAAA